ACCTCTCTTAACCCGTCAGCCAGGCATTGCAACTTAATGAAATCCACATTCTTTAGTATTTCAGAAAGGGTTTGTCTAAGTCTAGTTTTAGTTCTAATTTGTTCGTGTAGTTTGTTAATGCTTTGCCTGAGCCTCAGCCCGTTTTCACCAGAAACAAGGGAGATCTCGTGGACTGCATCAACCTGAACACCGGCCGAACGGCCGCAGTTCAACGCAATTCAGCCGTCCTCTTCTGTTGAGATCGACCTACGAATCTCTTCTTTGTGCACTTTCATACGAAATGAAAGTCCTAACAACATTTTTATGTCAATAGATCAATCAAAACCCAGTTTCTCTTCGAATCTACAATGTACGTACGGTTTAAATTCATGTCATTTGTCTTTTAACTACGCTATAACCAAGACAACTATCGCAGGAAGTTAATAGAATTAAATTTTTTAAATTTATATTTATACCGACGTCCATAAAGAGGGAACCTTATCAGGTATCGTATGGTTTGGTTAAAACTAGGCTCAAGAAAAGTATTAACAAACTACACGAACTGATTAGAACCAAAATTAGGCTTAGGCAATCTTTTTCTGAAATATTGCAGGATGTGGATACCGTTAAGTTACAAGACATGGCTGACGGGTTAGGAGAGGCGACTGACACAATGACTTTTCGGATACATGCTAAGAAGCTCCGGAATTTAGGAATTAAAATCAGGTCAAGAAACTTTGCGCCTAAGGTAAGTCGTACTAACCATGGTTGTAGCAGCATGGGTAAGGATAAGGTAATCAATTTATACAGTACAAATATGGAGGATAGTGCGGTTCTTTTATTGGAAAGAGGATTGAATTTTGCTCTTCAAAATGAGATAAACCATTCTCTGGATATACTAATTGAATTAATTAGCTTATCGGATAGATTGTCTGAAGAGGTAAGGAATAGTATAGAACTGGAGGTGATCCCTCATTTTGACCATATAATACTGCCAAAGAAAGCTTGTCATCTTAGTAGGGTTTCTAGATATCTCTGTGGTAATATTCTAATCGTAATGAAAGCCGACAAAGATGTAGCAGTGACAGTCATGGATAAGTCAATTTATGTAGAAAAGTAATAGTTCATTTAAGTGACAATGTCATGTATAGGCCTTTACTGAGAGATCCAACAGAAAGACTCAAGACTAGGCTAAAGGACTCCACGGCCTACAGTCTCCATAAGGCTTACAAAGAGGGTGTCCCTCTAAGATTAATTGTAAATAAAAAAGGAATAGTGATTCATAAAATCGCACGTTT